CCAAGGCGTTGCCAAGTCCCTGTTTTCTTTTTTGCTGCTGTGTCAAGTGGTCGCTTAGTTTTGTTCAATAGTGACGTCGGCCACCTGTTCAGTAAGTGGCCGCTGTCACAATCGAGCAGTTTCCTGAAGAACGAGCACACCCTGCAAAGATAGCCATTACTGTCTTCCAAAAAATCAGCGGACTTGTTTCCAACTCGGCCCAAACGCCCGTATTTGTGGAATCGGCCAGAAAAGTAAGTGTTCCAATCCACATTGGGCAGAAGCAAGTGTTAAAGGTGAAGGTGCAGGTTTGCCTTGTTACAGCGTGCCAGGGACAGGGTTCAACTTGTATTTTCGAGCCCGTGCTCGCGCTTGTTTCTGTCGCAAAGGCTGGGCCGAAGTCCGGCGACGCAATCGGTAATTGCTTGGGCCACATCGCTGTGAGCAGAAATGCCGTCCGTTTCCGGCATGACATGCACACACAGATGCATGCACCGATTGGTTCCTAGTTCCAATTATGAGAAGGCTTGTAGCTACGCGACGCAGCCAGGTGTTCAGGCTTGGCAGCTGACTATTTGCTCCCTGTGTCCAGCAACCCAAAGTGAGGGCCTCTTGGCGAAGGTGTGCGAGTTATTGCGGGGCGAAATTTGCAAGCCACGCGCCAGCTGCCCACCCAGATGGCCCTGCCCTGCGCTGGGTGGGGTGCAAGGAGCTTCAGTGTGGAAGGAAGAAAGCCGCATTGGCATGGCATTCTGGTTTCTGCGCTGTTTAAGCATTGGAGCAAAATAATATCACCTTCAGGGGGAACGTCCACGAGTTTGTTTGAAGGCAGGTGCAGAAGTCAGATGTGTGAAGGACAGGCGGAGGCCCTGCCAAATGCCCTTGTTGCTCACGGGGCAGCCTGGCTGGACAGCGAAACGGTTGAGCAAAAAGAGAGACCGCGTGTGGCTGCGCGCGTTTGAAGAATCTGGCCCCATGGTTTCACCCTTTTGCAATTCCTATTGGAATGTTTGTCCACAGAACCAGATCTGTTCAACCAACTTAGCGCCGCTTCCTAAAGCTGGTTCGGGCCCGGCAAGGTTTCCCGAAAACCCATGTCAATGTGCCTTGTTTTCCAGCATGCCCTTGTAGGCTGCTCAAGGCAACATTCGGTATGCAACAGGACTCGCATTTTTCCGGTACTGTGACTCTGTTGGATGGTGTATGATTGAGCAGGTGTGGTTTCGCGCCTTGTGACGATGCTGAGTAGTTGGGCGCCTTCGCTTTGAGGCTGAACTGTTGACCAAGTAACCACACCACACACACATTCTTTGTGTGTCATGTTTTTGGCAGGGGAAAGTGACCCACCCTTTTTTGCAGGCAGGCAAGTCGTAGCCAACGTTCCGGACAATTTCTGGTCGCCTTTGGCCCAAGAGAAAGCAAGAAGTTTGATCAGGTCAATGCAGCATGCTAAAAGCTTAAGCTTTGGTTTCATCATGCTGCGTGAGCGTGGGCTCGAGGCCTGCGGATGGCTTTTCACACGTTTTGCAGCTTAAACGTGGCATGTACAACCGAAAGCACACCGCCTATTTCATCACGAGTTCTTCCTTGTCAGACGAGAACCCTTTTCTGCCGCGCGCATGCGTGCCAGGGGCTTTGCTGGCAGGCCCCCAAGCCCCCGCTTTGTAGGTCGATGGTCGGAACATTTGAGCCACACGCAAGCCTGAATCACAAAGGGGCTGCAACGCTCGCGCAGAAGCGGTGCCCCGGCGACCGGGGCCCCCTCGTGATTGCGAGTGTTTCTTTGGGCGGAAGCAAAGCCTTTAGAGGGAAGGGGCACTTGCAAAAGGAAGCAGCGAAACATCTCTGCCGGCCGATGTCACCAGCAGGCAGTGATAAACGAGCAAATCCACGCAAAGCAGCAGCCTGCAAAGAAGGCCATGACCGTTTTCCATAGTTTGTTTCTAACTCGGCCCCAGCAGCCGTTGTTGCTGAGTTGGCCAGAAAAGAAGTGTGACGAACCACATGGTTTCTGCGAAGCAGTGCAGAACGGTTCTGCGACCAGCACCCTCCAACTACTGCCCAGGCGGCAGTAGATAGAAATCTTAAAAAAACGTAGCTAGAAACAATACAGTTTTCTTTTTTTTGCGGAAAGCCTACAGTCTAACTACTGCTAGGGGTGGCAGCAAGCGCATCGCAGCGTGTTCACGCGTGTCACCTGCGCGTCACCCCCTGTCGCCTGCGCGTCACCCCCTGTCGCCTGCGCGTCACCCCGTGTCGCCTGCGCGTTACCCCGTGTCGCCTGCGTGTGTCACTGCGTGTCGCTCTGCGGGCTTGGGGTAGAGATATACTGTTTGGGAAAGAACGTGAAACAAGCGTAGAAGACAGCAGCCGGCGGGAGCTGGGAAGCAGGTACTTTTCGTTTGCGTATATTTTGCAGGCAGGTTTGCAAAGGTTTCTGTGAAGTGCGAGCTGCGGTATCATATGGCGTGTGGTTCTGTCAACTTGGCTTGGCGAAGCACAGAGTTGGCGCCTTTCTAATTGTTTTGGCCTACGCACGTCGCATTGCCCGTTGTCTATAGGCCTAGAGCAAGAATGGGCGCAGGTCGGGGGAGTGCGCGCTGGTTGCTTTGCGCAGAGGTTTGCAGCAGTTGGGCTCTGCGCAAATTATCAGGCACCAGGCCCGCCGGTTTGCAAGCCACGCGTGCCAGCAGGCCACCTGGCTGGCATCCCGGGGCTTTGGCACGGATTGCGCAATCAGCGTGAAAAAGCTTCGCGCTTCCGGCCAGCCGCCAGACACCAGCCTGCTGAGCATTGCTACCGCAAGATGCTCAGAAAACGTTGGCCTTGGCTGTTTCCTCCGAGTTTTCTCCCAACTAGGCAAGCCATTGAGCTTGCTGGTACAGCAGGCCAATTACGGAAATAGCTTGTGTTTCAGGGAGACCGCTCCCCAGCAAAACGAATCAACGGCTTGGGCTCTGCGTCTTCCAACGTTGGATCCCTTCTCGTTCTGAGTCTGAAACGTGTTTTGGACTTTCAGGTTGGTTGGAAGTGGGATTGCACATGTGAAAGATGATTTTCTGCACTATTGCACTTTCTATCTAGTGCTAGTGGCTAACTGTGGTTCCGGGCTTGTTTTTCTTTTCGGGGGGTTGCTTCTAGTTTCTAAACACATGATAGGAAACATGAGCACTTCTTGGCTGGCAAATTGTTTTTGCGGGTAGGAAACTTGTCCCATGTGAGCCACAATCATAACCCCGGTGGATGAAGGTTAGTAAGGGACAGCCCCAACCAGAATTAGGAGTAGCCGCCGTTGTACCTCTTTACACTGGTTTGGGTCAACCAGGTTTTGATTGTGACTCGCATCAAGGTCCAAGAAAGGTTTCCGCCTGCGGCTCGAAGCATGTGAAACGAAGCTCGGCACGGGGGCTGGCGGGCTAGCACGCTGGCCGCGAGCAAGCCCAGGCGCGGCGGCGAGATGTCAGTCAAGGGACGGTGGGGTTCGCAACATGCTTGTGTCGCGTGCATACCTTGTCAACGGGAGTTAAACAATATCTTCCGTAGTGCTGGAACTAATTGAGGCTAGTTGTCGCTAAGAAACGCATGTGTCAGGCCTGGGACGTCTAGAAAAACAAGCAAGAAGCCTTACGACAGACTGCAGGCTTCGGGCGGGTTGGAGCTTTGAAAGTTGAACAGAGAAGCGAACCCTTCACGGACATCAGGGGCGTCAGGCGTAGTTGATTATTTAGACTTCAGCTTGCAGTCCTAGAGCCGCAAAGCAGGCGGATTTGTTGCAAGCGGGAGGCATGTGTGTTGTTTTTCTGCGTTAGGAGGATGCTTGACGACAAGAAGCTTTTTACGCGTCCCATGATGATGTTCAACATTGCGAAGGGTCAGTTGACATCCGATGTGGCGATTCGAAGATCTGGCCCTTGCAGTCAAGATCTGGCACGTGACGTGACGAGGTTGGCCCTGTTTTTAATTGGGGGAGGGCTTTCCTCCCAACAGAAACAACAAGGGCCATATGTACCTAGGTTCATGGCTGTACCGGCTGTACCTTCCGTGTTTCGGGTCTTTTCAGTGAGCATGGGGAGGAGACGCATGTTGGGGTTTCAGCACTCCCGCTTCCGACTGCCTCATTGGAAGTACGTGTGTGGTCCCCATTCCAGGTCTTCGATGTCTAAGCAGTGGTTTTGAACCTCAGGCGAATTGGCGCGGCTTCCCCTTTGGGGTGTTTTGATATATATATATATAGTTCAAGACAACACAGGATGAAAAGCGACACACAAGCAAAGAAACCAAGATTCGCAAAAACACAGATGCCTCGCAAGGCCTGCTGAGGCCCCGGGCCGAATTGCCCCCAGGCCGAATTGCCCCCGGTCGCTCGGCCTGTCGCGTGCCCGTGGTGCTTAGCCACTCTAGTAATGGGACCCACGGAATAATGAACCCCTGTTTGATTGATAGAGAGGTACCCTTTTAGTGCATAATCACCATGTTCAACACTATTGGAGGGGCACACCCCCATGGATTATTCTGGGGTGAATAAGGGTTTGCAGAGGGGTATGAACCGCTTAGATGACTCGGCCATTTGGAGCAAATGGCCGGTGCTTGACAACAACAACTCCTTCAATACAGATGTATATGTTCTTTTTTGTGACCCCTTGCCATGCACTAGGACACGCTTTGTGCTTGCCCAAGGGCTGGTTTGGCACTGAACCGTTTGGCCGAGCCGGGATGACAGGATCCCGGGCTGAGGCGGGGTGGAGTCCAACCTTTGTCGATGTTGCATTCCTTTTGCTTAAGCGGCGTGTGAGCCGCGCGTCGGAAAACTCGAGCGTCAGAGTTGATCCGGCGCTCATGACATGAAACCTGAGCCGGTTTGCCCTTAAGGCCACTTATTCAGGAGGTCACTCCCAACCAGTGGGGCGGCAACAAGTCTTGTGCTCAGAGACCAAATGTCGCAAAGCCAGACTCCATGATTCGTTGCATGTCAGGTTTCACGCACGTGCAGAACTGTTCAACTTCTGTGGCCAAACGCATCCATGGCTTCCAGCTATGCCGATGTCTTCAGCGTTCCCCTGATCCCGTTCCAGCCGCTGGGCTACACGCGTGTTTTGCTGGGGGGTTGAGCCAGCCACGGGCTTTTGACAGGTTCTGATTCAACGCTTGTTGTGAAAACATGTAACCCCGAGCTGCGCCTGCCCATTCACAACTAGATGACAAGTGACCCTGAAAGCGCAGTTGACCAATGTGAATATTTCACACAGTAAAGCACCCCGACATATCATTTCTAGACTTGATACCGTGCCAGCTTGTCACGCACAACCCAGCCGCGAAACCCGGAAGGGCTGCATGGCAGTGCCACGCATGGTGAGTCTTTTTGCACAGTTTCGCTGTGGCTTTTGGACCTCTCCCGGCCAAGGACCAAGTTGCAGATAATGCAAGTTTTGGATTTTGTTGACCCTTCAATCCACGCAGGGGGAAGGTTGCAAAAAACAGCACGACCTCGACCTTCAGGATTTGAAAGGGCTTAAGATGAAGTTGCAAAAGGCATGCATCGCCGCTCCAGATAAAGTTGCAATTGTTTGCCTTTGTGATCTACACGGGTCATCCGGGGTCAAGACAAGCCACACCTTGACCCTGACGATCCATGTAGATGGGGTTTCGATGGATCTCATTTGGCCCAAGATCCCCGCCAACACAAAAAAAGACAAACAGCAAGAAGTGACAGAGTGACAACGTGCAGTCGGCAGCGTATATTTGGCTCTCATTGTTTTGGTCATTGAGCCATTTTGCGGCAGTGTGATTTGCAGTGATACGGAGGCAGCGGCAGCGTTTCTGATTATGGAAGGAGTGCGCAGTTGACTTTAATTTTGACCTTGTGGCTGAGGCAGTGGTGGCTGTTTGAGATGTTAGACGTTCGCAGTAAACTATTGGGAAAATTTGGGTTGACTGATCCAACAAGGTGAGTCGCGCAGTTGCAGATTCCTGGAAAGACGAGGACAATACTTTTTTTTTGTCCAGCCAAGGCGGCTTCGTGAATGTTGCGTGGGTCGCGCCAAGCCTACGGTCGAGAAGGCGTCCGAGCTGCGTTTCAGAAACCAGAGTTGGGATCACTGGCCGGTTTTGCGGGTTGTTGGATTGCGTTCGAGTTTCCAAAGGTCCATATTTGGTCAAGCTTGCAACTAGCTAGCGAATTATGTATGTGTTTTTGAGAGCCAAGCGTTAATCCCATGTTAAATCGGGCGAAGGAACTCTTCAGACATTTTCTTTGGTGCAAAGGGTGGCATTTGCCTCCTTTTTTCGCATGGTCATACAGTGGATGGACGAAATCCTGGACTGCCCTGACAAACCCTGGAATGCTGATTTCCCTGCAAATTCCAACAAGCAATGGTTTCCTATGGTTTCAAAGTGGTGTAGGATTCTGTCCATCCACAGTATGATCATTGTTGGATTTTTCATACGGCAAATAGAAGGGCAGCTTAATTCGAGGCCTTTCGGGCCAGTTTGAATTGAGTTTCTGCTGGGGTGTTGTTTCTAGGTGGGTGTTTGACCTTCTTTCACTGAAAAGGTCGACACTCACATCCGTGGTTTAACCGGGGGTCCAGTGGTGTCCAGGCCTGGCCGATTTGTCCAGCTTTATTCCAGGAATAAGAGTCCAGTCAAATGCGGGCACACAGGGTTTCAGCCAGCTAGCACAGGGCAACATGCCTGAGAGGGAGAGAGAGAGAGAGAGAGAGAGAGAGAGCGGAACGTCTGCGGTGTGGGCCAACCTTGAAAGGGCTTGAACAGACAGGGCGATGTTTCGTGGCTTTTTGTTGGTGAAGGGTGAGGCAAGCTCTTGCCTTCCAGGCAAGACATTGGCAACGAGGCTCGGGCTTGAGCCTGCAAGACCTAGAGGAAAGCATGTTTGTTCAGCTACCATATAGTAACGGCACCGGCTGACACGATGCTACATAGTTGTGGGTTGTGAGGCTGGGGGCGTGTTCTCTGTGGTTTCCAAGTGAGCCCCCATTTCTGACAAGGTGGTTGTGGTGAGAATCCCACTTTGAGTGTCAGTAGACTAGGCAGAAGCAGTCAACGATCCTCGCCCCACATTCCCATCTCTGAAGAGCGTCACGTGGGAGCCAGCTCATATTGATTAGGATTTTGGATTTGGATCACTTTGGAGCAACTCGCACAAAAGCACACACAGAAAGAGACACAGACACTCGCAGACACACAGACTCACAGAGAAGCGCACAGAGACGCGCACACACACACACAGAGGCAGAGACGCAAAGACACACAGACACAGAGACCTCCGGATTGTTTTAACATCACCTGCTAGCCGAGCCCAACACTATAGGTTCCTCAAGGTGTGCGGATGTTTGGCGGGGACCCTGTGTTGAAGGAAAGCCCAATCAAAAGGGGGAACCCTTGAAGACAAACCCACTGGCAACCGAGATCCCCTCCCCCACGTTGAGCCCACGACTCGGTTGGGCTGCACCCCTGCATAACGCTTAAATGAGTCTGTCTTTTAAATAGGCGCCGAAATCGACAGGAAACCGCCCCTGTTAGGGGTCCCCTGTGAGACACCTCCAAGCACCCTTTGCTTGAACGCCCTCCTTTTTGGTTCCCTTTTGTTGTTTGGACGGGGTCGAACAGGCGGGTCTGGATGTTACAAATCATTGGCCGTTCACCCCCAAATTTCTTGCCACACCCCTGTGAAGGTCCCCTGCCCAAAACACACTTTCTTGGGAAAGACTAAAATCGACAATTGTGGGAGGTGTGCTTGGGGGCACCATGACCTGTCACCTGAGGGGAGGGGGTCGGAAAAGTCCTATGATGGGCCGAAACGGCCAAGGTGGCATGCCAGTTCTGCCGGCGCCGCTTTAAAACAGAGAAGGACCTGCAGTCCCATCTCCGCAGCAAGCACGCGCAGGACCTGGCAACCCCAGTTGTGTTCCGCTTTGCGGGTATATCAAAACGATTTGATTGGAGGCTAAGTTGATTTGAGCAACATTGTTGCTTAGGGTGTCGCCTTTTGTGAGAAAAACAAGTTGTTTGTTTCAGGGTGTTGCGGGCCCCAAACGCTTAACTTGGTTGTTGTTAAAACCGCCTGTGACCGAACCGCTTACGTAAATCGATAGTCGGAAAGCAAAGTTTAGTTGCCCAAGTAGTTGTCTCTTCACTAACCCTTATTTTCTCTACGCTAACCATGATAGAAATGTTGTTTGGAATTGTTCCTCACATCTCTGCACTAAACCATATTCATACAGTTGTTAAGAAACAATTTTAAGACATATGTTGCTCTATTGTCAAAGAACGTTCCAATTTGTTTCAACCATTTTTTTAGATTATTGCAAACACATTTCATTCAGTACACGTCAAGTCATGTTCCCGACCATCGGGGGCACTTTTGGGTGCGTGTTCATCCCTGAGAAGCATCGGCTTTCTATCAACAACCAACTTCTCCTTTAGCTTACAGCCAAGCTTCGGGCAGTCGGAAGTATAGTTAGAAACGGACATGATGTTGGAACAGTTGTTGATAAGGAGAAACGTTATACCTTTAATTTCCTCCCTAGTTCAGCTTCATAGTTGTAGGGCGTGTGGTTGAGCAACAAGTTCCTGCGGAGACCTGATTGGGGGACCCTTCAAAGTGGAGCAGTCACTAGGGAACAAGCCACTTTATCCACAGAAAGGCCTGCAGGCCCATTTCATGGTGTTTCTCCGGACCCGGGAAGGGCTTGCGGTGTGTAGCCTTCATGTGAAAGATGGTGCTCGCTTGCAATGCTCCTGGCCTGTGCCACGGCCCACTCCAGGAGCTTGCCATGGCATTGCCGTAGGGCCAATTCTCACCTGAGCTGCAATTTTTGGCGCAGAGTCACGAGCTTGGGGGGGGGGTGTTTCAGCTAGTGGAAAACCACAAACGGGATGTGCTACCCTTGAGCTGGGCGTCAGGAGCTGCTCGCCACGTCAGCGCCGGGCATTTTATCCAGGCAGGGAGCAGTGGCGGTGACCGAGTGGCCCTGTAAAAGGATTCGGGTTCTGGGAAATGAGCTGGGCCTGTATTGCCGGGTTTCTGTTTGGTTTCGGAACGCTTGGTCGGTGCTTTGTTCGGTTTCCTTCTCATTTTCTTTGAAAGCCATGCGAGGCGCTTTCTTTGAGACAGACCCTCACGTCTCTGGTTTCTGGACTTCATGCCCAGTTGCTCAGTGGTGACCTTAAACCCTTCTTTGGCAGGTTGGTCAACTGGGGTTTTGGGCCTTTTCAATAGGGTTGAGACAAGATAGACCTACACGGCTCCCCCAAAAACATGTCAATGTGTCAAGCCGGCGGTGGGTGGGGCAATCGTTTGAAGCGCGAGCTAGATGTAGTGGGTGGCAGGGGAACCCTTTTGCCTGACATACTTGGATGCTCTACCAACTTAGCAAGTGGATTATGATGAGTGCAACTGGGTAGCTGGGGTGGGTCCCCTTACAACATCTTACGCGATGAGGAGAGGCCCATGCTGGATGCCTATAGGGTCCCCGGTTGCCCCCAGGGGCATATACCACAGTTGCAAGTAGGGAGAATCCGAAACCCTGTACGTTGCTATGCCCTTCTCGGCCTTTCACTTTGAATATTCTGGCAGGACTGGGTGGGGCGCTGTTTCGTTTTTGCCTGTTTGTTTTGATGTTTTGGGGCAATGATGTGGTTTCCTCGCTCGGGTGGTTCTTTTCGAGCTGCCTGGATCACGTTTTGTCCAAATCCACGAATTCCGACCCAGGCTGCAGGTGGTGGTGGAGGACGACTGGATGGCTGTTGCTCGGCCCCTGGCTCGAACGACCGGCGACTTCGAACAGACCAATCCTTTGAACATAGAATCTCCGCCATACATTGCCTTTGACTTTTTGACTTTTAGCTTTTGTTGGGGCTTAGAGGGATTTATCACATGCCCTACTAAAAGTTGAAGTTTCAGAAACGAACCACTGAAGAAAACAATATGCTTTTCGGAGGAACCCCCTCTTGGGGCCCACGGTTTTTCAGTTCCATGAAAACTCCTTCCTGGGATCTTTCGTCAACTTGCATTTTGCAGAGGTTGTGTCGCAGCAACATTCCGGAGATGTAACTTAAACGTGTCCTTGCACTGGGCTTTTCAAAGGAAAGCTGCTGCCCCAATTCAGCCGATGTGTTTCCCTAGGTTACAAGCAGAGGTTTCCGGTGTTCTAGGTCCCCGAAAGAGAGGATGGGTCCGGCATGTCATGCAGGGGCCGGGCACGTGCTGGGGTCTTGGTTGAAAACACCACGGTTATGTCACATGTCTCCAAAGTTTGGACCACCCAACAGGGCCGGCCTCAGAACCTGCGTTTCCTTTCCTATTTCGGGGGACGCCCAGTTGGTGTGGAGCTTGTGCGCATCGGTTAGGCATTCACGAATGCTTTGCCAAACAATGTACTACCGTGTCCTTGCGTTTTTGCTCGCAACGCGGACACGACATATCACTGGAGGTGGTGAAGCCACAGGGTATCGCGACCTTCGGAACAGGCACGGAGAATCAATCCGAGCGGGAATACGACAGATGAACGTTGCATAGATGTCTCACATCGCGCTTGCCCAAAAACCCTAGCCCACAAAGGCGTTTTGCTTCTCTGCTGGCAATTGGATTCTGAATCACAGAGTTTGCCAACACTTACCCTAGTCGCGATGCCATGGAATCTGACCGGGGGTGCGGGCAATATTCAATTGGTGGGGATTCAGGTTGGATCCATAGCGCTTTCGGCATCCAACAGCACTCCCTCGACCGGATTGTTCCCAAAATAGATCCTGAATCCTCACTCCAGAGAACCGTTTTTTCCTTGTTGCCTCACTTTCTGAGTTCATGAACTTTATACTTTGACCATGTTAGCAACAAACAAAAGCAAAAGTTAGTTTGTCAACCAATCCACTCATGAAGTGAGTTGCAGTACGTTCTTTTCACGGCGGGATCAGCGATCCCTTTGAGCGACAGGCAGCTTCGACAAGTCCTTCCTGTTGGACCAGCTGCAGCCGAGCGCCGCGAGCGACGCTTTGACCAAGGCGAGAACGGCGAAAGGCAATGCCCTTGACGCCGCGTAGGTGTCTCCTTTGTTTTGAGGTCGGACCCCCCCAAGTGGTGGGTTTCCTTGTGGTATTGCCAAAAAGGGAGGTATCCTCACAGATCTGTGGGGCCTTCCCGTGTTTCCTTTTTTCAGAGGAAGCCCTCGGAAACTATTTGCCAATGCCTTTAGCTGCATGCCACACAGCTGCATGCTGTGGGCCTTATCTGCACTTTGAGTGTGGGCGAGCTCACCTCAGAGAAGCACGATCTGCTCTCGTGATGAAGCCCAAGGGCTGAACATCAAAACAGTCAAGTGGTAGGGGGGCCAGCCCTGACAGGGAAAGTGGCAGTGACGGAGGATCCGGGCCTTGGATGCGCTGGTGTCTGCATGTGCTTGGCGGAAGCCCTGAGATTCACATGAAGGTCAAGAGGGCGCCGTTGCCAATTGCAGGGGTCCGATTCATCATCGAGAGCACACAAGCACACACGTAATATCACTTGGAGTGGCAGTTGGCCTGCCAACGATCATTTACCGTTTGCTGGATAGTCGGATACCAGTTGCTATCCCTGAGCTGGCCGATTGCGGTCACAACAGGCGGCCTGAAAGTCAGGTTCTAACTTGCCCAACTATGTCCTTGCTGATGAAAGCCATCCATTGGTTTGGTTGCTTGCTTTGTTCATTCGCTCCTGTCGTTGCCATGCCACCCAGAAGGTCCCTTGAGGAGAATTCTCCAGGACCGATGGTAGCCTTCCTGAGTTCATGGACTTTAGTCACCTTTTGGGGTTTGGACTAGTGAGTTTTAGTGGCAAACAACAAGTTTAGTTCCTCTTTTTGGCACTCAGGAAAGCGAGGCGGGGTATCCCTTTGACCCCACCGACGTCCCCACCGTTTTCGGCACGCGCGCAGGCGCGGCCGGCGCATCGCCTGGACTTAGGCACCGGGGGGCTGCTGGTGCTGGCGAAGCGCCACTCGGTGCTGCAACGCTTGGGGGACGCCTTTGCGGAGGCCGGGGGGGGCGGGAGCAGGGGGTGGAAGGTTTCATGGTTGTCGTTGGGAACCATTTTACATTGTTGGCCTATTGTGGTTTAGTGGGAAACCCCCAATGAACTCCTAAAATTTGAATGTTTGCTCCCCTTCCATCGTCAACCAAGGTTTCAATATGTAGAATCTGCCTATTTTATAGCGAGCTCACCTGGTCCGCGATAGCCATGATAAAGGTCCTGTACTTGAGGATCCCTCAATTCATCCATTGGATATATATAGCAAGAAATGCAGATATCTAAAAAGATATACTTACGTACCAAGGTGTTTCCAGGGGGCCCTGCCATGTCTTTCAGTCCATACCCGGCCGGTGTCCCTAGGGCCAGGTGCGGAAGACGTACCGCGCCTTGGTGTGGGGCGACTTCCCGCTGGGCTCCCGAGGCGAGAGCGAGGAGCCTTTGCCGCTGGGATGGTCACGAGCTCGCGTGGGTCCACCGGGCGTCGCGTGGGTCAAACGCGCCTCATGTTACCTCACTTCCTGAGTTCATGAACCTTAAACTTTTTGGGAAGACCATTTTAAAGGTAAATATAAAGTTTGAACTTCTTTTGGGCCATCCACTCAGCAAGTGAGTGTCATGGTGCAGGTTCCCGGCCAAAGCCGCCCTTTTGACCTTGAGGCGTTCCCATGTTGCTCCATAATTGGTCGTGGCCGGATCCTTGGTGGTGGCTAGGATGCTCGGCGGATCCAGGCAAGCTCCCTAGAGTTGGGAACCAGAAGTCATCATTTTCCTCGAGCCACTGGGATGGCAGGGTTGCTACGAACCTGAAAGTAAAAAAAAAAAACGGTAGAAGATTGGCTCATTCCTTTGCTGTTCGTTTTGCGGGGCCCGATTTTAGCCAATCTCGTGCCTGGGGCAAGAATGATTGAAACAGCCAACCCTGGTTTCAGGGAAACCAAACTTCTTGTGTTTTGCCCACATGCTTGGCAGCCGGCCTCAGCTGGAGCCCAAAGGAGGTGTTTGAAAACCACACATGCTGCATACATTGGGGTACGAGCAAATTCAAGTGGAAAGTGCGAAAACTTAGAATTATTCTCAGGCTTTGAGTAGTTTGCGAAATGTTCCGATTGCGACCTGGGCGGCTCGTCCCTTTTTTTTTAAGGTCCCTCCAAAAAGAATGGTTTTCCTTTCGGGTCTTCCTTTGCCACCAAAAACAGGCACCCCCAAATTACTAGCAATGGTTGTCCTTTTTGGTTTTCCTTTGCCACCAAAAAAACAGACACCCGGGGTCAACCCCCCCCCCAAACTCGAGTGATGGCCTACGGCTTCCCGAGGTATGGAAAGCCGTGCTTGACCCGCTTCGAGGCGGTGGAAGAGCCCGTGGAGACTCCGGAAGGCATGGCCTCTTGGCTGGAAGCGGCCGGAAAGGCGGGCGTTTTTGGGCTTCAAATGGGCGGACCTACTTGTGGGCTTCGCGGCAGGTTATATGGCTATAAATTTTCATGGTTGGAACCTGCTCAAAAGTGGTTGGTGGACATGAATCTCCACCCAAATGATGTCCACCAAAGGGTCCCCAATTAAGATGAAGATGGCTTCCTTTTGGTTTGTTTTGGTGATTGTGACAGATAGTCTGTTCGGTTGCCACTTACTGTTGCCACTTACTATCGCAGCAAGGGTTGCTGTGCCATTGCAGAAATTGGACCCTTTCCACCCAGTTGCCCCCTCCATCTCCACCCCCCACCCCCCCTGCCTCGCCCCCCACCCTGCCCCACCCCACCCCCCCTCCACCCCTCCATCCCCCCTACCCCCCTCCCCCCACCCCCCACTACCCCACCCCCATCCCGCAAGGTTAGTACCTTGGACCTTTGGCCCCAGACCGGGCGCCGGCACCAGCTGCGGCGGCACCTCAGCGCCCTGGGTTGCCCCATCCTAGGCGCCCGGAATGTCGGGGAGGGGATCGGCGAGGGGAGGGAGGATGGCCCAACCTTGGGGGAAGAAAACCTGCGACCGGCTGTGGCCCGAAAAGGTTTTTGGTGGTTTTTCATTTGGACTTATCACCAAGATGAGGGTATGTTATTGTTTGTGAGGGTCAGTACCACTTATTTGGACCCATCACCAAGGTAAGGGCGTGAGTGTAAGTACCACTTGCCGGTGGATTTCGAAGGGAAAGCAAAACGCAAAATACCTTTATTTTCTTACCTTTTTCGGGGGTCCAATAAAGCAGACACACCCACATACCGATATACTATGTAAACCGAAGGGTCAGTGATTTTCTGGTAGCCCCAACTTGTAACCCAAGAAAAGGGGGTTGCAGGCTGTTTTAAATGAAGGACCCTTTTCCAGGAATCCACGGAGCTTCCTGGTCATGCCCGCAAATCCTTTGGGAAACACTTCCAGGATGCGAAAAACCAACGTCGGGCAAGTAGGTTATAATCGGTTATAACCATGGTAAGGGGACAACCACCCCAGTTACACCAGTAACCATGGTTTTTGGGAGCTAACCCCAGCTACACCCAGCTACGACAATGGTTACAACCTGCGTACCTGGCGTTGGCTTTTTTCGCATCCAAGTCCCCCAAGTCCCGCAAAGTCAGCCTGGGTGCCGCAGGTGACCGCCGCTACGGCCGAAGACTGGCGGATGCTGCGGAGACCCAGGCAAGTGACAAAACCCGGGCATACTTGTTTTTTATAGGTTCGTTTGGGGGTTGAGGCGGGGGGAGGTGCGGGGTGGGGCAAGGTGGGTGCAGCTCCTTTTGTTTTCCTGAGCGTTCCCTTAGTTTCCTGTGACTTACTTCACCTTCCTTTACCCCCTGAACTGCGTTGAGCTGAAAACCAAATTGAAATGCTCCAAAAAGGCGGTTAAACCCAGGTTTTCCTTGGGTTTTTCTTGGGTACACCTTAGGGCTTGGGACCAAACCACCAAAGAGGTCAGCCACCCTTCGATCCCCTGGGTTTCATGTGTCTTCTGCCCGGGCAACTGGGCAACACACACCAGCTCGGACTTGACAGCCACAAGTGGAGTTTCGCTTGGGAGCAATTGGCCATTAATTCCTCTCCCAGGTAGATGAGCATGAAACCCCGCAAACCAACATTTCAATAGGAGCATCTTGTGTGGTTCCATGTCAATTCGAGTACATCTGCCGGTGCTTCGTCCTGTGGCGCCGCAGGCGCCGGAAACGCCGGGCGAGGAAGATGCCCCTGGGCTGCAGGCAGCCAGGCATTGCTTCATATTGCTTCGGCCACGGGTCGCTGCCCCAAAGAACCCCCAAATTGTGTGCCTGGATAGGTGTCATTTTTTGCCTTGGCCCCATTTTAAAGGCTCAAGGGTTCAGGTTGCATAAAGATGGTCGTGTTGGGCTTAAGCAAATTCGGATAAATGAGATCTAGGCCAAACATGGCACATGCCGCACTACCCACATGGAGACGCTGTGAGCAGCTGAGGAAGAATTGCCGGAGGGCGCCATGCCGCTCTTCCTTTGGGCGCTGCAGATTTCGCTGCCGCATCCCTCGGGCGACGAGGTCAATGTCCATTTTGCCGGCGTGCCGTTGCACTGATGTGCTGGTTGCGCAACTTCCATGTATCTAAGAGTCCACCGGAAAAATGACAGTATGGATTTTGTTGCTTGCCCCGGACTCCAGACATTGTCCCCACTTGGTACCGAGTGATCCTGCGACCTCCGCTTGCTTGTTAACTTCTGTCCTGTGGTATTACTTATATGCATTGCTACTTGTAATTTATTCCTGTCTTTTTTTCGGACTGTATATACAGAAGCGTAAACCATGTCCTGTTCTCACAGTGCAACTCATAAATTTGGACCAGTGAACTCTTTGTTTGTGCAGACCAGTAGTTTGTTGTGCGCTGCTTGCTAAGCTGGATTGTACAAAGTCAATCCATAGTCCTTGCAGATGGTGGGTCATCATTGCCGTCCCACTACAGACTACGGATTAAGGATGGATGCCCCCCCCCCCCCTCAATTTGAACAAGCCAGCCAAACGGCGCCAAACGGCGATGGAACTGACCTGAAGCAAATTATGTTTCTTCCACAAAGGGCGTGCTACCCCCAAGCCTTGACTTGAGTTCAAGGGAAACAAAGACAGCCCACCAGCTTTTGGGTCACCATGGCTTTAAAGGGAGACTAGACAAACAAGCAGTGGTTTTTTCGGGTTACCATGGTCAGCCTATTTTGTGAAAAGGGAAGCCGCCCAGAAAAGTCAACAGTTTTAGGGTCACTATGGTCACCCTGCGTTGTTCAAAGGGAAGCCACAAAGGAAAAACACTTTTTTTTGGCATACCCCGCTGTTTTAGCACCGGCCCACGCCCATATCTTTTTTTCTTCGCCCTCGAGGAGCGACGGGTGCAGGCGCAGGTGGCAGAGCCGCAGCTGCCGCGTGCCCACAAGCTGGGGCCAATGGCTCGCCTTGTCTTTTTTGGTGCATGGCAGTCGCTTACTTCCAACGGAATTGGGGGGGTGGCCCCTGGAATTCTACCATTTTTCCCCATTGATACATGGATCGAATAATTCTGTTCATGGCTACCCTTTTTCCCTTTAAATGAAATTGGGGGACCCCCCGCTCCCTTTGGGAAGGAGGGATACACTCGCATTTTACAGTTCGAAAGGAAACACCGGAAACGCCACAAGAAACCAGACGCGTTTTCCCCGCCTTTCGGACATTCGTGCCATCCTTCGTTTCAACCATGCTTCTTTCCACAAACTGGCCGTGTTTTCAAGATGTTTGCATCTTTCCCTGGAAGGAATGAACGAACGCTGCCTTGGCCTTCGAAGAGACGCGGTTTTGCATGGCGAGCAGGGTTCGCTAAAGTTCATGCTTCGGGTTTAAGCATCACCGTTTGGGCCAATTTGCATTTGGAGCTTCTTTTGGGTGATGCTTCAAAGGTGACATATTGAGATCTGGAGACAATTGCATCCAGATCGATTTGCCACGTTTGGGAGCCATTTGTTGGGGGTCGAGGGAAACCAACCGCCTATAAAGCGCTAACTTTGGCACAACTTTATCTCAGGTGTTGTTTTTGGTCGGTTGGCCTATTGGTTGGTTGGTTGGTTGGTTGGTTGGTTGGTTGGTTGGTTGGTTGGTTGGTTGGTTGGTTGGTTGGTTGGTTGGTTGGTTGGTTGGTCTGATTGGGTGACAGCCTTAGGAGAAGAAGAAAAAAAACACGTCTACCCCCGTCTCAGCCTTTATCGTGTTTACTAGGGTTCCGCCGTTTTGGCGGCCAACATTGCATCATCCGTCGGGTCTTTTTGCGCCCTTCTTTTGGTCACCCCCCACACCAATCCAAACCAATCCAGACTCATTGGCTATGAGTTTTCATCAGGAGTTCCTGAAGAATGTGGACATATCCCCATGCAAATGATACCCTCGGGCCCCCAAATCGAATTCACACTCACGGTCGATATCTCCCAAGGTTCGCAGACTTTCGCGCGGCCAAGCGCTGGGTGCCGCGCGAGCGCGCAACGGGTGAGAAAATGAGCGGCAACAGGGCGGCTGCGCTCGGGTGGAGTTGGGCGAGTTGAGTCGAAGGTTGGGGTTTTATGGCGTTTTTAACAGTGTCCATAGCATTGCTCACAAAGAAGCAGGGACCTGGTATGAAGAGACTCCTAGGCATGGAGCCATGAAATGCTGTTTTGGAGGAAACCCATTGCTTTTGGCACCCTTCACTTTCGACATGTCACATAAAACATTGATTGATGTGCTCACTCAATGGAACGGAATGAAGGAGCCCCTGGTGAGTTGAACGGGGGCGCAGCCCTTTTCCGAGACACGCAAATGGGGTCCGGATCTTTTTCTGGGACGCCATATGAATCTGCCACATTCATCGACCAAACCAGCACAAGTTCACACACAGACCAATGCTCCCAGACCATTAGATAAGTTATCCATTGAACATATTTTGTTCGCCCTGCAATTGTTTCCTCAGGTTGTTCAGGAGCAACATGTTGTGCAACGGGCTGTTTGGCCGCGTCATCGACTTGTTCCGTCGGTTAGGACCACAGCTGCCGGCGCTGGCAGGTACGTGGGGGCGAAGTTTATGACGAGCTGGCGCTTCTTGCTCCTCCTTTCCCAGGCGGGCAGCCCGCTTTATGATCTTCCATTTGCTCATGAATATGTGTTTGTTTTCCCTTGATGGTTTTGAAGGGAATCTATCACTCCTGGAAATATATGTTTTCTTTTTTTCAGGGGGCCTACGCAAATGGAAGTGATGCTTGGTTGGAATGCACCCCTGAACTACTGGTGCTAAGTAGCGCTTGACTGGAAGCTGCAAGGGGATAGGTGTTGTTTTTTCCCGAACCCATTTGGAAACCAGTGATGAGGCCAGAAAAGGACTCCCTGAACAGCAAACTTGAGCAAGTTACTGGCAGGTTTCCTGCAATTTAAGCATCACCTTTTGGCCAAACATGCTTGAAGCTCTAGGCGGAGTGATGCTAATGGAGGGGTCCTTCGCTTGGCACCTGGACCTTGTTGCACGCGGTCAAACAACAGGGCGGGAGGTTTGAGAAGCGGGTGTCCCAACCTTCCGAAAATGGGGGGAGCTCTCAAGAACAGATTGTGAATTTGAAACTGATTTTGGCAGCACAGATGCGCCGGCCGAGTAGGAATGCTCGAAGTGGGCTCAAGCACGCGCATCCAAATTCCGTGCGCGTGAGAGGAAAAGTGCAGCCCAACAACACTGGGTCAGCGCAATCCATGTGGCCAAAGCTAACATTTTGACATGTCTGGCTTAACATTATAGACCTGCTCTCACAGTCTGACCTGTCATTTCAAGCTGTAAGTGAGTGGCTTTGAGAATGCCGATTTTGTTCCACGACTCTTTGAGGTCAAAGAGCCACTTCTTGGACCGATTTGAGGCGAGAGGCAGCAGGGCGATGCCTGGCTTTTGGTCACAGGTCACAGCTCACAGCTCAGCCAAAGTCAATTGGCGGGCCAGTAGAAGGTACGTGGACGCTTGTTTGAATGCGCCTCCCTCAATAGGGATTCCATCACTTTCCCCGCTGAAGTTCTTTTCAGCTTTGCGGTCTCCATTGCCTTCCGATGCGCAGAGAGAAGCATTTTCCCGTGATTCCATTTTCCTGTACAGCAGGTAGCCATACAAATTACCCTTAAAGACCCAAAAGGAGCCTTGTTCGGTTTTGGGACCTCTTTCGTTTCCAAAATCTTCGCCACTGCAACATCACCTGGGTTTAGATACGACGGGGCACACGGGTCACCGCGTCGTTGCCTTCCGCGCGCCTTGCAGCATGACGCGCCCCAGTCGCCGACGTGACCGAGGACAAGTGTCACAAGCGGGGCTTGAGTTGAGCCGTCCCGTTTAGACGGAAAGGTTGTCCCCCCCTTTCTACGTATACCCAGTGCTTCCATTTGCCAGCATAGCATATAGGAAACCAAGGGAAACCTAGAGGTCAGAAACCCTGGTAACCTACCAAAGTGGAAACTTGAAGCACTGGGTTGGGCTATAAAGCCTGTTTGCTCTTTTCACAAAAACAGCTCGGGCAACCCAATGTAAATTTCCTTCTGACCGGAGTGACCGAATCGCCGCCTTACTTAGACCTTTTGGAAGCAAATGGCTTTCCCATGAAACCAACAGAAGGAAACAGGAAGAGCAACCAAGTCCAGAACACGGTGAATCTTTGCTTGCAGTGAGCGAACTGCCACCCCTCAATGTTTGGCTTTGACTCCAAAATTGAAATCTGACCCCCTAAGTGTAGTATCGCTTTCCTTTTGCCCTGTAGTCCATCCCAGGGGAACACCAGTTGAGACTTGTACCTATTTAAGGTCTGTTTAAAGACTCCCTACCAGAGAAGATACCCCCCAAGCAAAGAACATAGGATGAGAAAATACCCAAGAAGCACACCCTTTTGTTTGGGGATGGGAGTCCAATAGAACGTCAACCTGTGGGGGCCCCATGGCAAATCCTATTCATTTTGTGTCGTCTCCAATATGATTCCACGCTGTTGGGTCCATTTGGATTGGGTGTCTTTCGGGCTATTTGGTAACATCTTTGGACTTTCTGGAGAACATAAGTCCGAAGCTTCTTGCAGAGCTCGCCACCAACCAAGATGTGTTCTGCTTCTTTTGGTCACCTCTGTGGGATGAGTTATTTTTTAGGAGCCAGAAAAAGAGTCACCGTCTTCTGGACGGCGCCCTCTTTGCCTTTGGCGAACCAAATTGGGCCCTCCACCTTCTGCTTCCAGAGGCTCCCGCCTTGCAGAGATGGCTGCCTGCGGCTCTTTGGGAGCAGCTCGGCCCGGCATTTCCCCGAAGCCAAAAACAGAGAGGCAGAAAACACCCACAAGTACCTGCGAGTTGTTGAAAGCCGAAATTTAAATAAGATATCCTTTTCAAAGACTTTGTTTAAATTGAAAAGTTGTTATTTCAAACTAGACTTGAAAGGTTGTCTCCCTTTCTTCTGCTTATATTTAATAAGAACATATTCCTAGTAGGATGTCCAGTTTAAAGAGAATCTAAATAAAGGGTCCTTTTCAACGAAGATTTGTGATTCAACGTCTTACTTGACAATAGATGTTCAACGTTCTTAATTTGTTCGGTCAATGTTCGGTCATAGTTTTAACACGATTTTAACATGGACATAATTCTAGTGTGATGTCTAGCTTTAACGATAATTCAGACAGGCTTGTTAAAAGAAGGTTCTTTTATTGGAATTATTATTTCAATTCAAGTTCTAAATGGGGTCTCTGTTTCCAGGATTGTGTTTTCCAGTTTTCTAATAACATTTAAGTGGAATTAGCAAGGACACAGCCCTAGTAGGATTTCTACTGAAGAGGTAATCTAAATTGGTGTTCATTTTCCATCAATATGTGTAATTACAAGTCGTATTTGAAATTATATTTTAAAGCGTTTTCTGCTTCATTTGATTGATCATAATTTAGTTGGAATTTAGTACGCGCACAAAGCTGCTACTAACGAGAATTTCAATATTCTGCTTTGTTAAAAAGAAGAAAACCAGACTTGTTTAATTGGACTTCTTATTTCAAAGCAGATTGTTCAATGGGCGTCTTTCTTTCTAGCCTTGAGTTTTTGAAACTTATAGTTGAAAATTAAATAGACGTTAACAGTGAAACATCCTGACAGGATTTCCTTTTGGAATAATGTTTAATTGTGATTCTTACTTCAAGTTAGATTTCAAAGAGGACGTCCTTTCCCAGGATGTTTTTCCAGTTTCTATTTAGAACTTGAATAGATTCTAATCAGGCACCTTTTTTTGCAGCTTTCCCCAAAGCGCAACAAAAGGCAGAACACACCGCAGATACCATTGAATTCTGAAAAGATTGGCATTTCAAGGGGGTAGCATAATTTATATCTATATGTGTATATATATATATGTTGTATATTCGTCGGGATCCTCCGCGACTGGACCGAATTTGCACACCGGGGCCATGCTTTCCTCAAGGGGTGTATTTGGGAGAAACAAGGCGGGTAGGGACGAGGGGGAGGGGGGGTGGATCCATCTCCTAATGCTCCTAATGAATCTAATTCATGTAGGAGCGTGGAGGCTGCGGGGGTGTCTTTTTTGAACGGGCCCCCCAGGATGTATTTCGGTGTTCCTTCGGTCTGCCCTTGTAAAACCCACTCCAAAAAAGGCGACCCTGAGAAAAAGACACATGCAATGGGTATGGGTCAACATTTTAAACCATGAGGGGACCGCAGGTTTTAGTCCTTGGCGGTTCACATGGGTATGGGTCAACATTTTGAACCGTGAGGGGACCGGAGGTTTTAGTCCTTGGCTCCATTTACCAGGGTTCCATTTTGGGTACCTATTTTTGACCCACCCCCAGATGTTTTCACAGGGGAGGGCGTCGGGCGAAGCATTAGGTGCTGAGCTGCTTCCGGGGCTGCTGGGGCCTTTGTCAGGCGCGAGCCTTTGGACACCTTTCCCTGAGGCGCGGGGGACAGCTGGCGGGCGGCTGGTGGGTGGCGGGGGTTGGCTTTTTTTTGGGGGGGAAAGCGCGGTGTCCCCTTAACTTAGCCCAGCCAACCTTTGTAACCCAAATGGCTGCCAAATCCAAAGAAACACCCCAAAATGGCTGCACGGAGAAAGACACATCCAGTTCTTCTTTGCACTTCACCCTTCTGTCAAAAACAGGGCACGCAAAATGGGTGGTTCACCCTCAACAAACATAACGTGCGCCTTTTGGGCAGTCAACATTGCGAAGTTGCAGAATAGATGTCCATCACAATTCCGCAACTTCATTCCGGGTATTGGTTTTTTTAGAGTTCCCAAAATCGGCTGTAAGCGTCCTTGGCACGTCCCCCCGTCCCCCTCCTTTCTCCCCCCCCTGCCCGCACCCATCCCCCGCAGGATCCGGCGCCAGGACTTCCAGGCGGAAAGCTTCGGCCTGACTTCGAAGCGCCGAGATTTCGAGGAGCGCCTGGCGCGCCCGGGGACCCCGGCGGACTTTTTTTTTCGCCCGGGTGGATTGGGCCGGGTGGATGGGGGCTGTAAGAGGGAAGATGATACCCTATGCGTCGTTCTGGCTGGTTTCAGCATAGGCCTCAATCTTCCCTGCCACAGGGGGAGGCAGGGGGGGCCAGGGATTTCCCTGTCATTCCCTAAGCGCCTTGCTTGAATATGTTCGTAAAGACTATTCCTCCTTTGGGTTTCGCTTCAAAGGGTGTAGTGGCCCTCCAACCCTCGTTTCCACCGGCTCGTGCGGCAGCTGCGCTGAGGGCTGGACAACCCCCGCGTCCGTGCAGAGCTGAGCGTGTTTGTGCCCTGCCGGCCGGCAACCCCTTCCCACAGAGGTATGGGGGTAGGTTACAGCCTGCCCACCGTGCCAACTCCACTTGGGGCGCTTATAGGTTGTGACCTAGGTTAGGAACACTTAGAAGCTTGGGCGACCACCCAAGTATCTCGTTTTTGAGGGTACCCATTTTGAGGTGGTTCTGAAGGCACATCAAAAGGAAGCCACCCTTTTTGGGATTCCTCTTCAAAATGAGACAGCCCATGTCTCAATCTGGGAGTGCGTATTGCAAGAATGCATATGTCTTGAAAGGGGTCTCCAGGATCCTGGAGGAGTCGGACTCATGAGAGACAACCAAGATTCAGCGGAACTTCTTCCAAATTGCACGGGGCCTTTTGATCTACGGTTCCAGGCGCACCCGTCTTCAGACAATTTGGAACAAACATTGCAAACTGATGGTTCTGAAAAAAGATCAGTCGATTACACAATCAATGGGAAATCTTGAATGGCGCTTCTCTGCGATGACACCTATGATCTTGCCCCGCAGCCATTTGGCACATCTAGGGTTCGATGTGGAATCGAGCAGCTTCACCTGGGGGCGATCTCAGAGTATCTCAGATCCATTTGACTTCAAATGTTTGCTGAGGCAAAGAACGCTTGCGCGGGCATCTGGTTTTCGCCAGCTAGTGCGAGCATCCTTTGGATCAACCGCTTCTTTGGGCCCCGAGACTGAGCTTTGACAAAGAGGGCTGCGGGAATCTACATGCCATATAATGAGTCATCACTTAAATGACTGGGTGCTATTTGACAAATAGATTGACTGGAATCTAAATGGGAACCACTCTAAATGAGGACTTTTTTCCAGTCAGTCGGAAATAGGAGTGGTGTCAGCGTACCTTGCCGATCCCCTCTGCGTAGTTCCGATATGCGCGTTTGGGTCGGCCATGCCCGCGCTGGCAGCAACTCCGGCAGATGAGCTCCTCAAATGACTTAATTTGGCAACATCTTTTCGCATTCCCTCACTTCGTCCACATGAAACACTTTTAAAGCTGCAAGCCAATTGGGTTGCGGCATGTGGCTTCAGTTTATGTGGCTTCAGTTTCACTTTGGGACCCGGCCATTGGATTCTTGGCAATTGGGGTTTGAATGCCCCGTCCCGTGAGTGTCACGATTTTCACTTTTCACATGTTCAAATGGAGGTGTTCGACCCAGGACAAAAAGCAGCTAAAGTCGAGTGCAGGTTCTCCCAAGCTGAGACAGAGTTGGGCTTTCCCGAGTGGTTCCGGACTGGTGCCTTTCGGGGGCTCCCGGCCTTCCTTCGGCTTGTATTTGATTTATGTTTTCTCGCCACCCTGGGGGTTGGGAACCGCCACCCCCATCCGCATGGCTTGCGGAACAAGACAACAAGGATTAAAGCAACATGCCAGAATCCACCCATTTGTCTGCTGGTGCTCAGCATGGAATGTGTTGGAATGCACCCAAGGGTCCCCGTAAAGGAAACCACAAGGGATGGCTGAAATTAGGGTCATTCCATGTCTCCTTCCCTGCTTATCGCACCAGCAAGTTTTAGAGAAATTCTACTTTGAACAACACTCAGGCCTGCTTGTGTAAACCACTCCCCAACCACACCACCAATCCAAACCACCAATCAGACGGAAGCTGACAGTCTGAGTGGGCTCCAGATGAATCAGGCGGGTCCTCCAAAAAGTCTCAGGTTTGGGGTGTTGTCCAAACCTTGTCGACCTTGAAGGGGGAAAGGGGGGAGGGTTTTACTAATCAGTTGTAGCCTTAATTAGGCTGAAACATAATCAGTCGTAACCTTGATTAGTAACCGATCAGTACAGTTTTACCACATACCCTCCCAACCCCAACAGGAATGTTCCTTAATCCTTGAAACAGAATACAGAATACTCCTACCCAAGTTTTGCTAATCACAATGGTTCTTTACAGGAGGTTTTCAGGAGGCTGAAGCAAGAGAAATCTGCCAAGGTGAGGCCCGGGATCTCTTGCTGGGCATCCGCCGCGAAGGAGATCCGGGCTATGACCCGCGGCGGAAATTTGTGCAGAGCGCCCCCTTCTTGTTGTTTTTTGGGTGTGTTTTTGTTTTAACAAAGTATGTGTTTCATGTGTTTTCTTGTTTTAATGAGGGTTATAGTTATAGTGAGGCCCATAAATAAACCGTGCTAAGCAGGTTAGCACCAAAAGTCAATGGGCGAGCGCTGCTCACCTGAAATTTAGATGGGCTCCACATTTCGGTGATTTTTGAAAGTGGAGATGAAAATCAAACGGGGCTTCCTTAAATTCCAAAAAGAAAGAGGGGGGAGGTGCTTTGGGTTCCATTTTTTATACTTAGGCGGAGTAGTTGCTGCGTGCTGAATAGCAACCACGTTTGTTTCTTCCAAAACAGAAAGCAACCAACAAGGGACGCGTGACTTTCCAACTTTTAGACAAGGGGACCGAATTTCTGGCCATGAGCCGAGCTATCCAGCCTTTGTTGTCCTTGTTGTACGGTTTGCTTTCAGGTTTTCCACAAAAATGTTGTTACCCTTGCATTAGCTGGGTTTGTGCCTACATGTGTCTCCAAAAGGGTTGTATTCCTCCTGGTTTCACGTCAACACCAAGTCCAAAAACACTTAAATCCAGATGTCATGGTTTCTCCCTTCACTTCACGGAAGCTTTCGGCACGAGGATGAGGTGTGGCACCGACGTTTCAGCCAGCTGCAGATGGCTGCCATCGAGCCACGGCCATTCGTCGCTTTGGGCGGGCGGAGGGTTCACGACTCAGTGGCAACCGAAGCGAATGCACCCCTTGGTGTTGCTTTTTTTGGTTGTTCTTTGGCGTCTTGGTCCTTTTTGTTAAGCCTTTTGGTACTGCTTGTTTGATTGTTGTTTGGCCTCTTTCTTTGTCCTTTCTTTAAGCCTTTTGGTATTGTTTTTGTTCGTTGTTTGTTGGCCTCTTGGGTCCTGCTTTCCTTCATGTTGTGTGGGCCTCCCTTGGAATCCAACCAGCCAGCAGAAACAAACGGACGCCTGCTCAGGTAGTTCCTGAGTCGCCCGAATGGGTACTCACCGCTCAGCAGCGGTTTCTCCCAGACTCAAACGAGCACCACGAGCCCCCAGCAGACGGGGCCGCGCTCTGCTCACGTATGAGATCCCGCAAAAATGTGCAGTCGCGCAGAGATCTCTAGGTTTCTTTGGAGCTTGCTTCTTATTTCAGACTTCGATCCCCCTTGGGTTAGAATCAAAACATGGGTAAATGCTCAGAGTAAGGCCAGAGCCAGAAATAGGTGTGGCCGCCCTTTGGATCGAGGCACCTCCGGGGGTCCAAAATAAGGGAATGGTCAAAAGTGGTGTCTCCCAAAGCTTTGGAGGGGTTCATTCAAACAGACTTCAATTAGCATTTTTTAGCCTAGTGTTTAGCGGGGTTTTCCATGTAACCCACTAGAAGTGAGTCACTCGATCGCGGGGATCGGATCTGAAAACGGACAGCTCAGACTCCGAGGAGTCCTATTTGGCCCAGAGCGCGTCTTGGCGCTTCACCCCGAGCCTCAAGCGCTACCGGGAGCTGCCGAAGCTGCAGCGCGGGCCTGTGGCCCAGGCCGGAAGCCGACTCGGAGATCCCGGTGAGGGGTAGTTGGGGGTTTGGAGTGGTTTGGAGTGGCTTGGGGAATTTAACCCCTGACTTTAGTCGGTTTGGAGTGGTTTGGGGAGATTTGACTTGTGTTTTGATTGGGTTGGGGATATTTAGGGATGGTTGGGGATGTTTGGGCTTCAACCCCTGGCTTTTGAAGAGGGTAAACGGGCTTTACCACCCTTGGATGCGAAAAACCAACGTCGGGTTAGTAGGTATAACCATGGCAACGGGACAATCGCACCAGGTGCACCCTGGTTATCACCTACTTACCTGACATTGGTTGAACATCCAAGCAGGTCAGGTTAGTTGGTGGTTTGGGTTGGCTTGGCGATTTGAACCCCTGGTTGAGAAGAGCAAATGGGCAAACCATCAATTAGAGCCGACAGTGGCTTCGTCGTCAAAATGGGAAGTTGTTTTTCATTTTCGATGGTAATTATCAGGCTTTCCTGGGTTGGTTTAGGAGTGAAGGGCTTGGGCCAAGCCCGGCAAGAGGTAAAAAGCTTGGGGGGTTTTAGTTTGACGCGGAGGGACCCTTTGGTTGGTTCCATGGCTTGTGGGTGGCGTGTTTGCGGAATTGGGGAATGCTTTGAAGCAAAGGGAAGAAGCGGTAAAAAACCTGCTTTGCCATCCCTAGTGTGTTTCTCATTGCGCATCTTTCTGAGGTCTGAGGAATGGATCTTGCCTGAAGTTCCCCATGTGGGTGCGCCGTTTTGGACCCTGTTTCAGGGTGCTTTAGAAGGAAATCAAAAGGCAGTTTCACACACCGATTTGTGCTCCCAAGAACCCCTTTGTTGGCACAAGTAGGAAATGAGGTGGCGAACTCTGTGATACCAAAGGGTGCTTCTTGTGGGGCACCAAAATGGGATTCCCAAACACCTGACAAAGCATGGCGAACAAAGATAGCCAAATCCTTCGGCAATTTCCCACCTATCAATACGGTAAGCTCCTGTCTAAACAGAGAGCTATTTCGTTTGTTTGTTTTGCTGTCGAAGTCTGAAGCAATTTACAGCAAGAACTCCACCCATACCCTCCCATCATGGAAGCTGACAGGAGGGTCTTCAAAGTCTACTGACGTTTGGGGACGCCCCCTGTCAACTTCCAGTCGCTTCCCGAATCGATCGCAGGCCTTTGCTCGGCAGCTGGGAGAGGTGGTGGCCTCAGTGGAGAAGCCCGTTCTTTGCATCGAGAGGCGGGCCTCGCAGTTGGTTGGTTTCGCACTGTGCTCGATCCCTTTTGCTCTTTCCCAATTCTTTTTTTTTTAAGAACGGAGTGATGGCGGGGGGGAGTGGAATCGTATGGTGTGAGCACACCCGCAACAAAGGTAGACTTGAGCAATAATTTGCATGTTAGCAGAATCATTGTTTGTTGGTTAA